TCGCATGTGGGTAGTTCTCTAAGTTAGGGTCCCTTTTGGGGTCGTTCTTATAAGGGTGCCGTACTATATCGGGGACCCAAAAAGGGGCCCGAATTTAGAGAACTACCCATGTAGTGGTTCAGAGTGTTGGGGTTAAGCCCCGCAGTATACCGTGAAAGTGTGCCTTCTCAGACGCCTGGGAGGATCTGAGAATGTAGATCGCTTAAAGGGGCTTCAATAAGGTACCCCTTGCTAGTATATGGGGCCAAAGTAGGGGATCTACTTTCGAGATCCTCCCGGGGGTCTGGGATCAGAGCCTCGATGACATAGACTTAAACTCGGGCACCGGTGCGGTGCATCGGTCATGTCCATCACCTAAAAAGAGCGTCCTGTATCACTATGTGTGGTTTAGGGTTTGGGGTTTAGGGTTTAGGGTTTAGGGGTTTAGGGGTTTAGGGTTTAGGGGTTTAGGGTTTAGGGTTTAGGTTTTAAGGTTTTAGGGTTTAGGGTTTAGGGTTTTAGGGTTTAGGGGTTAGGGCAAACCTGGCATTCATACGGTCTCCACGTCAAGGATCCGCGCGCCGCCATTGCCATTGGGGAACATTTCAATCGGAGGATCCAAACAGTACTTGAAGGCCCAGGGGACTTAGTAAGTAGGTTTTTTTCGTAGAGTTAGAAGTGCCCTAAATGGAGTTACCCCAATTATAACCCTACTTATAACCGAGCTACTAAGTCCCCTGGGCCTCTAAGTAGAGCCCTTAATTTTAGGACCATATACCACTAAGGAGTGACTTTCTAGGAACCCCCTTTAGGGGGGACCCTGTTCCCAGAGACGCCAATTAAGGTATATTCCTTAATTAAGGGATATTGGAGTCTCTGGGTTCTAGACTCCCGCAAGACCCTTAAGGGATGTAACTTCTTGGATTACAAACCCTCATCCCCATCCTTCACTAAGTCTTAGGAACACCCCTTATCAAAGGAAACTACAGGTGGGGAGTTTAGGGTATATAGGTTTTAGGGTTTAGGGTTTAGGGGTTAGGGTTTAAGGGTTTAGGGGTTTAGGGTTTAGGGTTTAGGGTTAAGGAAACTACAGGTGTGGAGTTTAGGGTATATAGGGCTTCTATAAGGCTTCCATGAGGTAGATAGACCTTCTACAAGGCTCCTATAACGGCAACAACCCACCTGAAAACGTCCTAGACTTCAAGGGGGCCCCATGTTATTTTTGGATCCTCCAAGTGGGAAATTCTCTAAGTTAGGTTTTTCGCTACCTCACTTAAAAAGGGACCCCAAATTGGAAAACTACTATAGGGGCCTAAATAAGTACCTATACTACTTGGGGGATTCCTTTATATCAATTATAGTATCATGGCCCCAAAACCCTATTCTAGGAACGTTCATTTCAGGATCATGTATAAGCCCTAAACCATCGAATTCAAAACTTGTTCGGGCTTTTTGACCCTAAACCCTGAATCCTAAATCATAGAAATCAAATGATTTTTCGTGGCTATATGACCTGGAGTGTTCCGCGCCAGAAAAAAGTACCGGTGCCTGGCTCAGGTACCACACCGCCCTGGTCTTGGCAAATTTGGCCAGTCTGAAAGCATCCTAGGCAGCGACATGGCGTTTGTTTCGTAGCAAGCTGATAAAGTAGGAACCTGATTAAGAAACCCTGGCTCTTTATTAACTGTCTTTACATGAAGCCTTCTATAATTGGGTTATAGGGCCAGGGTTTCTGAATCAGGTTCCTGCATTATGAAATTGCGTGAATCTTGCGCTTGTGGTGGGAGTTTTGTCACCAGCCTAGAACCTGAGATTGGTCATTGAGTCTTGATATAGGGGCCTTAATAAATACTTAGAATAGGGTTTTGGGGCCCATTGTACTATAATTAATAGGAAACCCCCAAAATAGTATTTGCAACTATTTAGGCCCCCTACAGTAGGTCTGCGACTATATGTGGGTTTCCGAAAATAGGGGAGCCTAATATAGTACCCGAAATGATGGGATCCTTAGTACAAGGACCCCAAAATAAGGTACCCCTCATTTTCGGAAACTCCAGTATGGGAGTTTCCAAAAACTAGGGTACCTTATTTTGGGGTCCTTATAATGAGGATCCTACTATTTAGGGTGCTATATTAGGGTCCCCTCATTTTCGGAAACTCCAGTATTGCACACCCACAAGCTTCTGACTAGCATGCTCAGAGCCGGAACCACCTAACGGGCAACTCAAGTCCCACTGAAAGACTAGCTACCCAGAGAGTCCAATATCCGTCAATTAATGAATATACTTTAAACTATAGTAGGATCCCTAATATGATTTAAGGTATATTCCTTAAGTAAGGGATATTGGGGTCTCTGGGTAGTTTGTGGACCGGGCTACAGAGGCCGCCTGCCAAATTTTGCGAAGGCCATGTAGCAAAGCAGGCAAACTTCACACAAACACCGACACCAACCACCCGAGCAAGACGTGAATAGCTACAAAGTCACGATGTTGCCTTACGCTGACACGTCTTTCATCTTCTACTGAGCTACCGTTCACTTCAAGTCCTCGAATCCGAAACTCGCCAACCCGTTGCCACTGTCTGTTCTCTGAGCTTGTCGCGTAGGTCGAGTCTTTCGACTTGATGGCTTCCTGCGAGACGCCGTCAGTTGCCCCACAGCGCTACCGGGTGCGAAAATGGTGCAGCACCGATTGAGCTTGCATGGCTACCTCGACCTGTACTAAACCCTAAACCCTATATTCAAGGGTGCTTTATAGGAACCCCTTTAGGGGATCTACTTTGTCGGATCCTCGCGAAATTTGGCTAAGCCATCTCTGATGGTTCCAGGTGGTTCCTGGTCGCTAGCATGAAGCTACCCAGAGACTTAATTAAGGAATATACCTTAAAATATAATAGGACCCCCCAATATGATTTAAGGCATATTCCTTAATTAATTAAACCCTAAACCCTAAACCTAAACCCTAAACCCTAAACCCTAAACCAAAACCCTAAACCCTAAACCCTAAACCAAAACCCAAAAACCAAAACCCTAAACTCTAAACCCTAAACCTCAACCCTAAACCCTAAACCCTAAACCCTAAACTCTAAACCCTAAACCAAAACCCTAAACCCTAAACCCTAAAAAGCGCTTGGATCGGGAAGGGTCAACCGCTCCGTTGCGACAATGCCGCCAGAAACGGTATAAAGTTCGCGCGAATGAGGTTCCAGCTCGAGTTACACACCATTCTTCGATATACGTTTAACAGGTATAGCTTGCGGATTGTTTGAAGGACCAGTGCAGATGCGGTTGCGACCATGCGATAACCTGCAAGCTGTCAAAAACAAAACATCTCATCAACATAACACAACGGGAGAAACGTTTTAACCAGATCCGCACCAGCACCTGAACTTCTCCGAAAAGTCAGACTTTTGGCCAACTTATTAAACCCTAGAAACTCTAAACCCTAAACCCTAAAAACCCTAAACCCTAAACCCTAAAACCCAATATTATGGTTCGAAACCCAAAAAGCTAGTCCGAAGAGCCACCCAGAAGAAGGCCCATGTAGGGGTCGGAATGAAAAGGAAGAAGATGCCTCATAAACCGGTTTAGGGTTTAGGGTTTAGGGAAATCTACCCAAATCCCTATTTTAAGAACCTGATTAAGAAACCTTGGGCCTTTATTAGGGTTCGTAATATGAACCATAATTTATTGGGGTCATAGGCCAGGTATCCAATCTAGCTAAAGTCCACACATACTTATAGCATAATATACCCCAGCACCCTTTCCAAATACTAAGGGCTCCTGTATTACCTCAGTTTCGGCTGGCCTCACCGTCGAAGTATGGCTTGGCGAAGATGGGCACATCTGCAAAGGTTTAGGGTTCAGGTAGGGTTTAAGGTTTAGGGTTCGCCTTAAGCTCGAATGCCTAAACAGGCTGGCTTCAAGTGGGGTTTGGAGTAGGTTTTTGGCGGGTGTACAAAAACTTGGGCTGTATTATGGGGATACTTGTAACCTAAACCCTAAACCCTAAAACCTAGACCCTAAAAGCCCAATGTCAACTGAGCTTGGGTTCAAGCGATTCTCGTTTTGGTAGAGGGTGGAGATTCAGAGCTACCTTAAGAACCCAAAACCTACTTTTTTGCAGGGTCTCTATAAATCCCATATTAGGGTTTACAATAAGAACCTACAAAAAAAGGTGGGTGTTGGGTTCTTAAGGTAGAGCAGTATATAGGGCCCACTGCTGTTGCCATAGCGCAATGATAATGAATTGCTATGTACGTTCTTTCTGCGTGTCTTAGGGTTTGTGGATGGCTTGAAGCTTCATTTACGCCTCGTGGGGCTTGCGCTGTAGCAGTGCCTACCGATAACCACGGCCTTGAAGTTTATGGTTCGAAATCTCAGTGGCTGAGCTTAGCGGCTAAACGTGCAAAGTTTCAGCTGTAGAGGGGCTAATATTCTCCCCCCCAAAGGTGTGAAGTGTCAGCTGCTAAGAAGTAGGGATCGAAGGGCTCGGAACCAAGGCCGACCGGAATGTTGTAGGCATTTCTCGTTCTCAGCTCGTCCAGAGTCAGTGGCCTGGAAATCCTTTGTTGCCAGGCCCTAAACCCTAAACCCTAAACCCTAGGGGCAGGCAGCGATAAGTGCCAGCAGACAGTGCTTGGCGTACTTGGGGGAGACGTGCTCATTCATGAAGCGGATTATCTGTGCTGCTTCCTGAACCATCTTTCCAAAAAAAAAACAAAAACGCCTTCGTGACGTTGGTAGGAAGTAGTAGTAGCAGTAGCAGTGCACGTTGTTGGCAGCAGTAGCAGTAGCAGTAGGAGTAGCAGTAGCAGTAGCAGAGCAGTAGCAGTAGCAGTAGCAGTAGCAGTAGCAGTAGCAGTAGCAGTAGCAGTAGTGGTAGGGTAATAGTAGTAGTAGTAAACCTGTAACTACTACCAGTACTACTCCTACTACTACTACTA